ATAGCTGATATACAATATAGGAGGAACAATTAAGCTATGATACACAGTTACAGTCAAAGTCACCAATAATATGGCTTTGTGTGGACCTTAAATACAGTGGGGCACCAGAGACTGTTTTCAACAAATGCAGAAACTGGAATCACTAAAGCAGTGTTTCTCAACCTTGGCCATTTGAAGATGGGTGGACTTCAACTCCAAAATTCCCCCAGCTGGCAATGGGAGTTGAAGCCCACCCATCTTCAAGTGGCCAAGGTTGAGAAACACTGCACTAAAGCCAATAAATATGACTCTGAAGAACGAGGATGCTGGATTGCCATAAGGAGAAGAAAGAGAATTTCTTCCAAATTGTTTGAGAATTCTGAGCAGCGAATGTGAGACAGTTCACATTAAGAACCACAGAACCTCTTGGCTGCCCTGCCTGTTCATGAGCAACACAGCGCCTTAAAGTAAGTCAATATTTTTACTTTGTATTGCAGAGAGGAATACTTGTCTAATCCCCTTAACAGGTGCATGGCTGAGGTGATGTTAGAACATGCGGTAAAATAATGCCATTGTGGTATCTGAGTGTCAAACTGGGGTGGCGGGGAGGGCAAAGAAACAAGGGGGGAAAATGTTGGTTATCTACAGAATACAATCCTGCTAGAGAAGAAACAAAACTCAACATGATTTTTAAAAGATTTTTGGAGAAGGAAAGATCTCAAGGCAAGCACTTACAGTTCCACAAAATATCGTGAGGTATATTGTATTAACTACAGCATGCTGGCATCAGCTTCATAGATAAAAAGCTGTAAAAATACAGCATCTGATTTTTCCTAATCACACATGCATAAATGAATTCCCGTAGCTTATTTCTGCTTTGTACCTCAATATATTTCAGTCACACTGCAATATAACAAAAGGAAAAGAGAAGAGAGGAATTGTCTTTACCCTATAAAAATATCATTTTAAAAATTACTATCTAGATTCCTAAATGCACCTTTCTATCTTCAGCTATGAAATCTCTGCAGTTTAATTACTGTCTAAAAATACTATTAAGTTTAATGATACTTGCACATGCCTGAAGACTTTTCTCTCTCTTTCCCCCCTCCCCTCTCTTTTTTGCTTTTTCCTTTTCATAAAACTGCTTAACTCATACTTCAACACAATTTGTTTTAGGCAGTATAAATACAAACTAAGGCAATTAGCTCCTCCATCAGATTTCTTGTGCTGGTTCTCCTCAGGGAAACTTATAATTTTCTTTCTCCAAATACCTATCTATTAATGCACAGTACCATAATTGTTCTGAGTTTCTGCTCCTTGGCAAATTCTCTTTTCAGACCACTTTCTTTATTTGATTCACCCATTGTGAATAATTTTTCCGCCATCCTAGTTCACTGCCTATCTCCCACTTTTTCCTGTTTTATCCATATCCAATCCAAGAGCATTTCCTACCCCCTCAACATAAGACTGAAAAATTCTTCCATATTGAAAATGAGATTTGGAGGAGAAGGCAGTTGGAGAAAAAGCTGGGTGGGGGGTGGCTCCAGTAATTTATACAAGATAAGAACATGAAAAGTAGGCTCAAGGGTCACATCTACTGAGCCCCACTAAGAAGAGGGGAGAGACATTTGGCAAAGGAGTTTTAAGGAGGCCTTATGCACTTGCAAAGCTTAAAGTAATTATTTTTGTCCCATAAACCCTTCCCCAAAATGAAAAAAATGACCCCAAATTTTGGCCCCATCTATTTTGAGGGGCTCTGGAGGCCACAAAATTAATATTTTGGGGCTGTGTGCAACCCCAGCACAAACTTTCTGCACCTAGCAGAAAATGGCTTTCAGAAGTTACTGTTTCAAAATTTGTAGTCTGATTTATAGCATTCCATAGGATTTCACTTTGCCTCATTATATTGGCAATCTTCCTAAAACTGCTGAGGAAAAACCTTTACAGAGCATCTTCAGGTTGTTACTGACATGACTCTCTCTCTTTTAGATTCCACAGAGATGGCAGAAGTCCTGAGCATTGCCTGAAGTTAGGAAAGGACTGCATGAGCGATCAAAATAAAACTGAGACACCATGAAAGCTACAGCTGATGAAGAAATCTGATCCAGGGTTAAACAACCTGCTACAGATGTATTTTCTTTCTCTCTAAAGGGAGAATGTTCACAATTTGGGTGAATTTCTGAGTCAGCAGTATTTTTCCTATATTAAGTTGATACATTGGGTACAGTGTTCCCAATGAAGTTGATACTCTCCACATAGACCAACTTTGAAGAATTTTTGGAAGCTACAGCAGTGCCAGATAGAGATATCAGAGTATGATCAATCCTCAGAGTATATCTCTCTTGCATAACATCTTCACAAACTACCCATCTACCTCCAATCTCAACTCAGAATGCCAGGATTAATATTTTAAAAGCTTGCAAGTCTTAAGGGCCAAACTCCTAATTTATTTACTTACTGATTTAAAGCACTTATGTGCCAGTTTTCAGCTTGAAAGATTCATAGAACGTCTTACAAAATAATAAAACAAGATCATAGTGCTTCAAAATTTGTAGTTTGATTTACAGTATTCCATAGGATTTCGCTTTGTCTCTCATTATATTGGCAATCTTCCTAAAACCTCTCTGGTTAACAAACTTAAAAGTCATGAGTCAAGAAATTGGGGGGGGGGGGACTTCAGCATTGTAGCCAGGTTGATGGAAATCAGTTTCTGATGACCTAGGGACCCCCAAAGGCAGATAGTTCTGCTGCTTTTCCTTGTGGGACATTCAGCCCAATGACTTTTTAAGGAGAGAAAACAGACCAAGCCAGATGAATCTTGATATCAGGAGTAAATCTATCTGAAATTGTTACAGAGGCACACGTTCAGATCTGAAGAGGTTGTGTTTTCAGATTATTTAAACTATTTATTTATGCATTACACTTATATTATGTCAGAGCACCTTCCAAAAATCTATTACAATAACACTGTAATTAAATTGAATACTGGAACAAAAATTAGGTGGTGTCCATAAAACACCAAGGTGATTCAAACAACTTATTCCCTGCCATGGGACTTTTCTGATATTGTCCTTCAGCCACACCCTACCTGTCAAAGGTTCCCAGTGAGGTGCTATGAGATAAGGAATGGGTCAGCACTCAGCCTATGATCACGGGAGTCTAGAGGGAAGCCAGTGACTAAATGACCATTGCAACACAAACTACGCTCCTGTTGTACATACATTATGGCATCTCATGCGCATAATGAGGCCTGGGCTTGCAACATCCATGTAGCCTTTCTAATGAAACCACTAGATTCTGCAGATGCCTCTCCTTATAATAAAAATACTTTCTCCTCCTATGTAAGTAATTAATAACTGCTTTTACCCTCCAATTTCCTTATAGGTCCCATAAGACATGATTATTTATTTTTCTTTTATATGAGGAAAATGGCCATTACAATGGCTGGTAAAGCATGGTTGGGAAGGAAAAAATATATACAGGTAGTCCTCGCTTAATGACCTTAATTGGGATTGGCAACTTTATTGCTAAGCAAAGAAGTCATTAAGCAAAACATCATGTGACTGCGCCAACTTACAACAGCAGTTCCAGCAGTCCTGGCTGTGGTTGTTATGCAAGACATCACATGACCGTGACTTGCGACCTCCTGCCAGCTTCCCAACTGACTTTGCTTGTCAGAAGCCAGCTGTGAAGGTTGCAAATGGCAATCATGTGACCATAGGATGGTGTGACCCATCATAAGTGTGCAATGGTTGCCAAACACCTAAATCACGATCACATGACTGTGGGGATGCTGCAACATCATAAGTGTGAGGAACAGTCATAAGTCACTTTTTTCAGCACTGTTGTGCTGTTAACCTCAAACAGGCATTAAACAAATGGTCATTAAGTGAGGACTTAAGGAGTACTGCAAGGAGAGTAATAGGATTTTTTTTAATAATAAATCATAGCAATCCATTTAAATTGCCAAATATATAAGAAGAGGAAAACACAAAAGAAAGAGCCCCTTTAAATATGTCCTTATTAAATTATAGTAAAGACATGTTTTGTGTAGCCAGCAAGTATTTACAGGCTGTGAGACCATGAAGTAAAAAAATAGAGCTCTGTACTGAATGTTAATGTATTTGTACGTGATAGATTTAATACAGAAACCAAGAAGAAATGACTTTCAGCAGCTGCACTCTCTACCTATAAATTGCTCTTGCTACTGCAAAATCCATACCGAGGAAGAACAGCTGTATAATTTACAACATCAGCATTTGTTAAGAAAAGCAACAAACATGGGTTCTTCTTTTTCAACTAAGAAGGGATACTGCTACAGAAAATTAGAAACCATCTTTGCAAAGAGCTTTCAGATATAAAAACATTATTCCATTTTCAAATGTGTATTTCAAAATGCAGCATCTTCATTAATGCTCAGAAGATTTAAGCAAAATTCAAAGAACATAAACACCAGTTTTAAGGTACAATTAAATAATGCACCAAATGAATTACCATTGGCAGAATTATGCACTAATAAAAATAAGAAAAGCTGTATGAATTCATAAGCCTTAAAACAAGGATCTAAGAGGTTAGCATGGGTGTTTTTTTTGTAATCTATTCCCTGTACATTATTTCAGAGTCAGGACTATATCAAGGTCCTCAGCATATAACAATCTCAAATAACAATGCATTGTTCCTCTCACATTTCAACTATACAACAGGTATACCAGACACCTGAAGCAGTAATGTCTCCATTTACAGCACTTTTTGTCCTGCTGATTGGTCTTATTATCTGCCACACCTGCCCTTTCTTCCACTAACCATTTTGGATGTAGAAATTCAATAGAGGGCTGATTCATACACACAAGGATGAATTTATTGTTTGATTTATCATTGTTATATATCATTATTATTTATGAGATCTTATACCCCCCTTTATAAAAAGATCATCAAGATCCATCTGCATTTAAAATAGTTAGCCCATTTAATAATATAGAGAGAATATAAAAATAACAGGGCTCTGCACACAAACACACAAGCTCACCCACCCAGGAGCAGCTTATGAAGCAACCACATCAACCTGGAAAAAAATGGGGCTGCTTTAACAAAATGATCTTCCTCTGTGTTCCCTTGAATTCTGAAGCATTTCTTTTGAAGGATTTGTATGGCTCTAAAAAATAAGAAACACAAAACCAGCAATAATATCAGAGCAAGTGACAAAAAAGCAAAAGAGGGGAAGGCAAGCAAACAGACTTTCAATTTACAGCAAAAATATTCCATGTTGTGGGAATAGGCTCACCTTGTTGGGATTACTTGAAGCTTTATCCATCAATTATGGAATAAAGAATAGAAAGAAAGGGGTAAGAAGAAATGGCCAATTTTTGCACCAGAAGAATTTAACCAACAAAGACCTTCAGAGATCTATCTTGGGACTGGCTTCTTAGCTTTATAAATGATTTGGACTTTAGGATCTACAGAGAGGTGGCTAAGTTTGCTGATGATGCTGAATTATTTAGCTTACTTAGGAAAGAAAGAAAAGAGAAGAATTCTAAAAGACCATCTTTGAACCAGCCTTACACAGATAAAAGTGATTCAACACAAGCAAGGGTAAAGGGATTCAAGTTTCATTTTAAAAAAATGAATTTCACAGGGCTAATTTGGTGATGGCTGATGAGGAAAAGGACCTTGCAGTCAATAACTGAATAAAATCAATAATAGAATACCAGTCTGTTGCAAAAAAAAAGGGGGGGGCAAACTCTACATTAGGAATCATTAGGAAAGAAAGGAAAATAAATCTGCCAGGACTGTAAAACATCTGTAACTATCTAAGATGCAACCATACTTGAAATACATTATATAAGCCTAGTCAATGCATCTTTCAAAAATAGATACTGGAGACTTTGAAAATGTGAACAAAAGAGCAACCAGAGTGATCAAATTACCACTCCTTTATGTCAAAAGGGTTTGAGGTTCTTAAACTTCCACTTCATCTGTCACTACTCTATACAATGCCTTTTGTTCATCAAACTTCTCACCTCTTTTCCACAGTCTCACCAAATCCATTTCTCAGGCTTCCCCTTCTTCTAACCCCATTCACTCATCCTTCATATATTTGTCTTGCAATTTGATTTTCATTCATTCTCTCTAGATGACCAAACCACCAGCACAAATGCTTTCATACCAGTTTTCCCTTTTGTGTATAGTTCACATATATTTATCACCTATTCATTATTGTCCCTATCTCTTCTTGTTGTATTAGACAAACTCCTTAAGCAGCAGTGCATGCAGCAAACCAAGATATCAAAATCATGATGTGTCTACTGTGATGAAATCAAGAAAATACCTACCTTTCTTCATTGAGCCCCAGTGTCTGAGCCAAGTACATAAATCATGGCATTTGCAT